CTTTCTGATACCGCAAACGAGAAATGTGATTGCGGACTTCCGCCGTCGATATGTGTTTCATTCTCAAAATTTTGTTGCAAAGCCTCTGCTCTGTGAGTCTGTGATCCTTTTTTAAATAATGGATTCGCATTCATTTGAAGAGAGTATTCGGGACGAGTCAAGAATGCCTGGTAGCCATCGAGGCAGGAAATCCTAGGCCAAGGCGACCATTACAAAGGCGAATTTCTTGCCTGCGGCGTATTTATCTGCGGAACGGCGCGCAAAAACGCTACCCTTTTGGGTGTCATAATCCTTGCCGTATTGTCACCCGGTAACAGATGAAAACGACACCCGAATCTTTATCTTTCTACAATCGCCGGTCAACCCTACCGTGGTCCTCATCCACTGCCAAATTCCTTGAGAAATTGGTACATTTTGGAGGATCAGGTCCATAAGGAGTACTTCAATAGGAAGTACCTCACCTCTAGAGGCTCCACGTCCGATTTTTAAGGTTTATGATGAAGCTCCAAAGATAAAAAAAGAGCCTTGCTTGCATATATTTCAAAAGCGCAAATAAAGGCCCCTTCCACACAGTGGCGTGGCGTAAATTGCGATTTATCGATTTTTATGCCATTTAAACCTATGGAAAAGGATCGATAAACAGGGTGTCCGCAGCAAACACCCTATAATGGATTCTTTACCATAGGTTTAAATGGCATAACAATCGATATATCGCAATTTACGCCATGCCACTGCTTCCGCACCATCTGGAGACGTCGCACAGTGGATCGAGTCAATCAGATAGGTCGGACATGAAATTTTTGGCTAAAACTGCAAATTTTGATGTTTAATTTGTCACATTTTCAATTTTGAGGGGTGCTTCCAGTAGAAAATTTTACGAGAAAACGAATGGAATCGTTTTTAAAATCTCAAAGTTTTGATTTAACGGAGTTATATAAGCTTTTATTAACTTGATCCACTGAGCGTCCCCATTTATGTTTATCTTCGCAGTATCCACAAGACTCAGAGCCAACACATTTCCTACTGAGGTACTTACTCTTCTGAGTCCCCCTGGGCAACGCCTCTGAATAGCTCACAAAATCGCGAAATTGAATTTTTGATGAAAAAAAAAGCATCGAGGAGTTTCTATAAATTCTTTTGGACAGAGTAGGCCTAAAAATTTTATACCAAACCAAGCTTCGGTAGTTTGAAATTTACAAATGAAAAAACATAATTTCAAAAAAAAAGCTATATGCGGGATATCCATAAAGTACGGGACGCTCCATAGAGGACGAGGGATCCTCATAAGTCTGTGACCAAACGTCACATGGGGTGAGGGGGTGTAAAGTGTAGCGTTACGTAAAAGCACGAATATTTGATTTGAACCAGTACGTACTATTACGTTTTCCCCTTTTTTTAATAAAGTTTTATAAGCCAGCATTTTGTCTTACTCTTTCGCGGTTCTTGAAATGCAGACCCCGTTCTCAGGTGAAAAAGAGGTTGGTTGTTGAAGCAAATTTCACGTATTTATTTTGCAGGTGTCAGGATCTGGACCAACGTTACGATCGCGTCACAAGGGGGTGGGNGGGGGTGGGTGGGGGGTGGGGGGTGTCAAAAAATCGGAAAAATTGCGTTACGTCATAAAATATGGACAGCCCCTTCAAATTCTATTGTATCCAAGGCACGTTGTAGGTGAGTTGTGATGCATAATGCAACTTTCCGCCTTTTATTAGCACCTGGTAGGCTAAAAACCTCACAATTTATTCTAAAGTAGAATGTAAGTGTTGTAAACAGGCCCGCCACATCCCATCTCGGGCCCTGGTACCAGTTTTAAGGTCCGAGCCCCAAGCACGGAGGGGGGGGGTCCGAGGGGCATCCCCCGAGAAATTTTAGAATTTATACGACTAATCGGTCGCATTTTGAAGCTTCCATAAAGAATTGTTTCATCAATTACTGCGGAATAATTATGTTTTTTTTCTACTTTCAGCACAAGATACTTGCGAATTGTTGCATTCAAAACATCTGGAAAATTTTTTTTTTNTGGGGGGGGCATATGATACTATTTTCAGTTCTAAGAGGGCCAAGCCCCCCTGGACTCCCCCTTCGTTTGACTATGGCAAGGGAGTTGAGCCATGAGCCATTGAAGTCGAGGATGCCCAGACTGGAGACTGTTAGCATCTGACGACGGAGGAAAATGAAACGCAGTTACTAAAAATATCCCTCTGTACTAAAAATCTTGAAAATAGATAGAAATTTTCCAGGAAGTATACTTCTTTGAAAATTTAAGAAGAATTCTACAGTGCCCAGCGTGTTTCTGAAAATCTATTTACCTCTTGCGAAATTTTTACGGTAAATTTTTCACTTTTTCTTACGAAATAAGGGTTGCATGTGAATTCGTAGTGGTTTTTCACGGGTAACACGGGCTCCGGTATCAGGGACCCAGTATCCCCCCCCCCTTGTGGCGGGCCTGGTTGTAAATCTCGCAACTGAGGATGCCGATTGAGAGTTTCTTAGTTGAGAGGATGAAAGGGAGCGAAAGGACCCCCTTCGTGTGGAAGATATCATGGTGAGAGGGGGTGGAGGAGCGGCACCCTTTCACCCAAAACCCTTCCCGCAGCTTTGTTCGCGTTTTTGGTCGGCTCCGTAAACCCGCTCGCATACTTCACATAGATCACGTATGCATCTTATCTTAGAGATACATCACCGAATGGTTGCTTAGTAGCCTAATACTGCACCTGATGACCAAAGTCGATATGACCAACGACTCGCAAGAATATCGATGTATGTTGATAAGGAATGTTTGTCTTTTGCGCGGCTTACACGATAGAATTTTACTCTTTGCCGGCACATCATGCTATAAGCAAACTTTCGTTCGTCAACTGTTTACAAAATCCGTAAATAGTTGTCTTGCACGTTGACGAAGTTGGTAATTTCATCAACCAGTTAAAGCCCGCTGGCCTGTTTACGAGACTGTTGATGGATTTCACTCCCTCAGCAGGATCAACAGGATTGATAACTTGGTCCGGAGCACGTTTACGAAATTGTAAGCTGTTGACGAAAATTAAATTACACTTGATCACGGGTGATTTGGCGGGGAAACCTAGGCCACGCCCATTTAATCACAGCCAGAGAATGAAAATTTATTTTGATGACGTATTTCGTAAACTGTTTACAGATTTCGTCAACGGTTGACGAACGAAAATTTGCTTTTCCTCGTTGCTTACTCCATCCAAAGAACACAGACAAGAGAAGGAAATATCACAAGAACGAGGCTGGTAACAAAAATTAAAGATAAACCCGATACGTTTGTGCAAATTTCTCCTGGGCATTAACCACAGTAAATCACATAGTTACGCCCCGTCGGAGAAATTGCCCACCAGCGGACTGCGGGCAACTTCTTTGCCCCGTTCGCGGACTGGCCACCCCTGTTGCTCAGCCCCCGAACTGTCCGATTTTCTTGTCCAGCCCATGAACTGGACTACATTTTGCAATTTGGAACTACGAGTATAAATTCCAGCCCGGTTTAAAAACAACGTATGTGCCATTAGTTTATTTATGCACATAAGTGTTCTTCTGGAAGAGCCAGAATTTATAGTTCCAAATTGCAAAATGTAGTCCAACTGGGCAGCCAGTCGCAGGACCGGCCAGTTAAAAGTCTGAAAATTACGCGATCGGTCATTAAATTTATAAATTAATCTGTACGCCAACCAACCGATGTCCTTCTTTGACCGATTTCTAACGAATATTGATTCTCGACGAAACTTAAAATTAACAAAACAATTTACAGGTTGTATGAAAATAAATTTGACGATTTACATATTTTTTTTATTTTTCTCAGGAATGTTTGTTAAAAATATACGAGTTGTTTTTTTTAATTTTGCTTTTATCTTCAGCATCTTTGATGCGCGTGTTGCATACTTAAAAATTGAAGGTGCCTCCACTGCCCTCACTTCTCCAATCTTATCAGGCATATTTCAAAAGTTGAAAATTAGAAAATCCAAGAGAGCCTGAAATTCGTCAACCAATCAGAGTGTGGCACTTGTATACTAAAAGTATTGAGCGATGCCAGTGCTTTCCCTACTTGGATACTCTGTTCAAGTGCTACAAGTAACAACTCCCGACTCCCGTGTATCTCTGAAAAGGCGAGGAAAGCAAGAGCGCCTTCAATTTTTGAGCATGCGACACGCACATCCGTGAAACACGATAATTGCATCAAGGCACAATAAGCAACTTGACATGAGACTATGCTAAAAGGATTAAAACTAAATATCCGACTCAAGGCAATTGAAGCCTGAGGGTTTCTGCGCATAACTTAAAAACTCTCAAATAGTGTATTTATGCTCAGTTGTTTTCCTTTGTATCCCTTGATAAAACTAGGGGCCGGCTGATCTTTGCGCCGGCCGGGCCTTTAGATAGCCTATCAGCCGAGGCTAAAAAAGTAATTGTATTTTTTATGTGTTGAACATACTTTTACTGTTTTATTCACGTATTGTGTGGAATTCTGTAATATTTTTTAACGTAGCGTGAGACAGGAGACACATTTTGAAATCAGTTTTTTGCGTCTTCATTTCATTGAGTTGATTTCGTACTTTACTTGAAAGGTAAAAAACTTATATTATTAATTATTAGATATATAATGCTCAGGATTATGTTCATCTTATGCTGGAAACTGGTTCAAGTACGGTTGAATTCAAATTGGACGTATTTAGGTATGTCAGAAAGAACTATAAGTAGATATAAATAAAATAATCACTTTAATGCGAAGGAACTTTGTAAGTACATACAGTTTGTGCTTTTCATGATCCCTTTTAAGCTATTAATACACCCCACTCTTGCAATTAATTCAACAGCCATGCCTCGTATTTTTCATCACATTAAGTTCTTAATAAATTGGAGTCCCACACATTTTCATAGTTATTAAGATCTTGTTTGACACGTACGTACATGTCAATTTTCACTTAGGTACTACAAGATGCAAGGCTTGACGAGAGCACTACTGCTTACTTTCCTGTCTCAGCTGGCAACTTGAAATCATATGTCAAGCTCTCCTTGAAGGTTGCTTGCATTTTAAATTTTGACAGTATTATGTTTTTTTCTCTCTTTCTGCGTCACTGAACTTTATTTTTTTATCGAATCGCTGAGTTTGGAGGAGGGAGAGCACAAAAATGACGCAATCAAGAATAATTTCGTCTTCAAAAATCAAAATCTTAATAACCTACAATAAATTGTTGAAGACAAAATTTAAGGTTATGTAGTGGCCTTGGAGACCATGAGTGAGCTGTGCAAGTTTGGTTTGTTTACCCTCATGGTTCAAGAAGGCATCACCTCGACTCATGAACAAACGATCCATCATCACATTCATATTGGATATTATCAATGTGAGTTATTGAATTCCTTCCTTTTCTGACCGTCATTTTGTGATCTTTCTGAAGATTCATAGGTCGATATGCATGGACAAGTTTTGCAAGTTACTCGTTCGCGGTCAATCCAAATGCTACCTCAGGGCTTAAATTGTATGTTGTTTGTCCTGAGCCACCACGAAAACTAGGCCTTACATCGAAGGCCTTTAAATTTTGAAAAAGAAGGAGAGCCATGAATTTGTGCTATTTTGTACCGTAAAAAATTCGCATCAAATTTTATATGAAAGAATAAGGCATATGCGCTTGATACAAAACTAATTTGAATCAAGACACGACATAGAAATGGCACAGATCCAAAAGCTCATGAGTCCTGGATTTCGTTGTGAATGCCTCCAATGGCGTGACTCATGAGTTTTTTTTTTTTTTTTTTTACTTGCGCCCTTTCCAATTTTCTTGATTCATTTACCTAAAATGTGCAGCTTTCGTCGCGTAACATTAGGCTAAGAGTAACTTCTGCGTACCCATTGTTCTTGTTCCAGGGAAGAGTTTTCTAGTTCAAGGCGTTGAAGCAGTCACAAATGGGACATATTGGGCATTCGGAATCATCATACTTGGTTACTTATTCTATCTGATATTCGTGAGACAGGTAAATGAATCAACGGTCTGCATATCGTTAAAACTAAACTCAAACAGATTCATGTGGCTAAGCGCTCAATAATTACTTTGAAGGCTTACTTTGTGTATAATAACAGTATTGATAGATCGAGTCAATGGTAGAGGTCGGTCATGGGCGACGAAAAAAAAAGTCGGATTTTAAATATTTTTTCTAGGTTTTCTGGTAGTTAAGCTTCTAAAATGGTATCCATTGTTCAAGGGTCTTTGAACCCTTCCGCTTTGACATGCGGGTTGCCTAAACTGACATTGCACGTGGTATCAAATTTGCCGTCTGACAAGGTTTTATTTCGCTTTTGCATGAGTTCTGTGGCAGATAAATCAAAATTTCAATTAAACATGCTTACTATCCTTAGTTTAAGGAATATTTTGGTATATCATTAATGTGCATTGGCATCTTTTTAGGAGGACCAAAACCACCTCCAAAACTTGCGTTAAAAAAACTCTCAAAAAAATGTTAAGATAGCTCGATAAAAAAATGTCCGCAAGTGTCCGCAAAATCCTTTGTTGAGGTGCTTCTTGTACACTATCAGGAAAGATATTATGTAATAATTAGCCGCTAATATCCGCTAATATCCGCTAATCTGCGAAAACGGTCCATTTGAATGATAGGAAGTCACGCCTGCTGGGAATCCGATCTTGCTCTAATGTCATCAATAAAATCGTGCATCACACGATATCCTTCAATCTCGGTAATTTTTCTACTGATTACTGATTTTAGCTGATTTGTTAATATTTTTACGAGACATTAACCTCCTGTTAGTCTATGAAGCTAATTCGATCAGTGTTATACTGTGCGATAAAGTTTAAAGTGTATGTTTTGCGCATTGTATATTTCACATGTTCCGTTTCTTGCAAAATTTCTTCAACATACCTAGAACTCTTCCATGAGCTCCATACAAATAAAAATCGGTTTGTGGGTTGAAAAAGAAGAACAAGACATTTCTTCAAGAGACATTGGTCCTTCTCAGAGGTTCTTCAAGGGAAAATTCATTTATTCTCAAGAAAACATACAAATAAACATTATTTCATTCAAAATTCGGAAATCTGTTAACGCACGAAGTCTGGCCTTCTGAAGAGCTATTAAAGTATGAAATTGTATTTTATTTATACTTTTGCGTGTCTTTCCCATTCAGGTCGTTGCTAATTTATCCGATACCAAGAATCCCTTCAAAAGGCTAGAAACACCACTAGAGGATCCGAACGTGTCTGCCGATTATGCAAACAGCACATCATCTTTTTTCACACCTGATTATGAGGCTACACCGTTCACGGTTCCCTATGTTCCTTCTTTCACGCTCAGGTGAATAAATCCGCCCAATAATGTGTTACAAAAGTAGTCTCTTTTAGCATGACACAAATAATAAAATTGTAGTTTACTCGGCATATTAACACTAAACGCACAAAAAAATTAGAAACGACTATACGCAAAACAAGATATTGTAGAGAAACTAAAAATGTTCCGTGAAATGGGTCCCTGGTTCGAATTCATGGTTGCTCCTTGAACAACCTATTCACGGAGGAGGCTCCACATATTTTCAATAGTGACTGAGGAAAATTTGAGGAACCTTTAGATAAAATCATCAAGAGGACAATTTTTTCGAGTGAAATTCATCATTATGTGTTTGCAAATGGAATCCTGTAAGGAGGGGATTAAAATGTTTTATCGCTTCGAAAAATACGAAATATAGAAGAATAATACATTTCGGGGTTTGCGAATTATGAATTAGGCCACTCGAAAAACGTAGACCTTCTTGCTTACTAGTTTAGTACTTTCCAGAATGGTAATCATTAAGTAGAATTCCTTTGAACGATCCATTTAAAAAGCAAAACTGCTTGGTTTTACGCAAGATTTGATCCAGGATTTTTGATCCTGGCGGAGCTCCACGATCGCTGTTTCTTATATGGACGTATTTATGCTAAAAGGGACCAGAGATGGGTAGGAAAGAAGGGGTGTGCTCGTTAGTTGAGGGCTGTAAGAATGAATGGGAATTTTAGGGCATCAGTGACGTCAGCATCGACGCCCGCGGATCTCTTTAACTCATGAGCCCTGCCCACGGCTCATAAGTTGGCATATGTTGGCCCTCAGCTCCTTTTGATTGAATGTATATTCCCACTTTTCCATTTTGACAAAAGGAATCACGCCCACTTTAACATTGTTTCTGACACTGGAAAAAAAACACATTGGATCTAGAGTCCAGACTCTTAAAAACATCGACAAGAAAAAATACTCTTGATTCAATCGGATTTAAGCTTAAATCAAGAACCAAGCCTCTTAATTTGAGCGGATTTCTTTTTGATCTAAGCTTAAATCTGATTGAATCGAGAGTATTTTTTACTGTCAATGTTTTCAAGAGTCTGGGCTCTAGGTCCAATGTGTTTTTTTTCCAGTGAATCCAGCTATAACGGGCAAACCCCATCTTTCCCACCCTTTTAGCACAAGGTTCCATTGGACTGCATTTTGCATTTTGAGCTCTGCAATTTCTGCCTCAGTTTATAAACCACCGTACCAAACGTATTCAACATTAGTTTTCCTATGCTTGTAAGTGTCTTTACCGATTTGCCAGGTATTGTAGTTCCGCACTGCTAAATTCAGTCCAATTGTTTCCTTCTCAATTTGCGCAGCGCGGAGGATGCGAAGCTCATGCGACCCTCTTTACGGCAAGTGTGGTCGTTCGCCCGCGAGCCAACGAGGGGGCCGAGCGCTCTGGAGATCCTCAAAGCGGAGATCCAGGAGTCGCGGAGACTGCGCCACCAACTGGAGAGCGACCTCGAGAAGATCCTGCAGGAGAACGAAGGACTCGCCACGGACAGGTCTGATTGGGCCGATCACCTCCTCCAATTCAAAGTCAACAGGACAACGCTCGCGGAGAGGCTCACCGCCAGCAAAAACAGGTAACACTGCAGTGGCGTGGCGTGAATTGCGATATATCGATTGTTATGCCATTTAAACCTATGGTAAAGAATCGATTACTAAGGTGTTCGATGCGAACACCCTGTTTATCGATCCTTTTCCATAGGTTTATATGGCATAACAATCGATATATCGCAATTCACGCCACGCCACTGTAACACTGTCTTCCACGGGACGGGATTTGTCCCAGGGAAAAATCTCACTTGCAAAGTTGGGGGAAAATACTGAGCTAGACAATACTAATCATAGTATCAAGCAGAGTCCTTGTGGGATCTTAGGAGCGATTCAGAGAGAAGGAGAGGAAATTTCAATGTCGCAAACGGAGATACGTGGTTTTACACTTTGGCCGTCGACACGTACAGCGAAACATAGTCACACCAGAGCGTATCCACGCTAAAAGGAACTATGTGTATAGATTTTGTGTGCGGCATAGTTCCTTTTAGCAGAAATGAGGCTTGGGGTGTGGAAAAGGCATTTCTTGGTTGCAATGCTTCGGAATCTCCAGTTCTAATTTTTATTTTAGGGAGGAAACCATTAGGTGAATTTTCTGAACTGTGCGTGTCCAGCACTGTAAAAATAAAAAGAGTTTTCAGTAAAAGTCACAACAAATTGCATACCTTTGCTTTCATCATAATGAATGAAACGTTACCGGAGATTTTGAGCCAATGCAACCAAGAAATGTCCTTTCTGCACCCAGCGATTCTAATACGTCCATCAGTACTGCCGTGCTAAGGAAAAACGCCGTATGAGCTTTCAGATGTTGCCATATTTCTTTCAATAAAAAGTCAAGTTTAACGGTAAAATTGTGAATATTTTTTTTCAAATTTTTCAGGAAATTTTCCTCGCGATTCAATCTTAAATATTTCTGTACAAAACTTTTTTCACAAATAGATGTTTCATTCGAGGAAATTTGGCAACTCTCGAATGTTCATACGACGTTCTTCCTTAGCACGGCAGAGTAGTCATCATTCATTGAGAAAATGACTCTTTGAAAATATATCAGCGGGCCGATTATTGAAACTGATAGACAAAGCTATAGACAAAGACGACAAACGGGATTTGGAGGGATCCTATTGGTGGAAGCGGGTGGTGGCAATGGACATAGGAGGTAGGTAATGGACTAATTAACGGCAAACACTAAAGACCCGACAGTTGACAGTTGACTAAAGACCCAACCATGTCAACCAATAGGATCGCTCTATATTCCCTAAGTCTTCTTTGTCTATCGGTTTGTCTATCAGTTTCAATAATCGCCCCCGGATTTTCTAGGCTGACGGCATCATCAATCGCGGACCACAAAATTTTGGAGCACCGCCTCGCCGCATCCAAAACCGAAATCCAGGAGCTGCAACTACAAATCGACGAGCTGAAAAGCGAGAAGCAGTCGGCCATCGAGATGGTCAGCAAGATCCTCTTCCGGCCGGACTTGCCCGGCCATCGCCTCACGCTCGGCCAGCACGGGCACCACCCTTCCGGAAATTACCGCAACTTCGCCGACGACAACTTCCGCAACTCCCACCCCGGCGCAGGTGCGCTCAAGTCCTCCATCTACTTGGGCTCAACGTCGTGCGTCAACTTCACAATTTCCAACATCACAGAGCCCCCGCACGAGAACTGCTCTGGTCCGTTCTGTAGGAGCTCGAAAGTTCCGGAGAACGGCATGTCTCCGGATCCGCCTCGGAATATCGATCCGGATGGAGTGTATGGTCCGAATCATAATTGGAGACCCCATCCGAATCTACTCCGGAAGAACTCGGATGGTCCCGAAATCTGCGTCTCTCCGGATCCGCTCCGGAACCGTGTGAACTTGAAAGTTGCAGAAAGCGACATTTCTTTGGATCCGCTCGCGAATGGTGCTGCTTGTCGTCCGGATCCTGTCGGCAGCTGTTCTAACCCGGAGGCAACTTGGATATGGAACCATCAGACCGCAGATTTACACCGGAATAACTCAATCTTTGAAAATAATCCGGATTTGTACCGGAGCGTCGAAAATATAAATAATGTTACCGTAAACTCTTCCGGGAACTCAATAGAAGCTGGAGGAGCTGACACGGCGCGGAAACAGCTATTGAGTATAGTGGATCCATCAATGTCGTTTGGGGTGGAGAGCAGTGCTTTGGGCTCAAGTTTTTGTGCAGAGTTCTGCTGCAGTGAGAGCGTCGTCACACATTCTTCGAGCTCTGAGGAGCCTGATCGTCCGACTGGAGAGGGATCTGTCCAAGGTACGCTGTTATTTCTACATGGGTCAGCGGGCTAATATTTTTTTTCTTTCTTTCTTTTTTTCTTTTTTATTTATTTATTTATTTATCTATTTATTTATTTATTTATTAGATACATAGGGGCCACAAAATATATACGTATCAACCCTATTAATCCTAACTTAAGGGCTAATAATTGAAATTGATAGACCAAGTCATAAACAAAGAATACAGAGAGAAAATGGAGTGATGGTGATCCTTTTAGTGGAAGCGGGCGATTGCAAGGGACAAAAGAGGCGAGTAATAGACTAACTAACGGCAACCCACGAAGGACCCAATGGTTAGTTCATTCATTCCCATTTGTATATAAAAACCACCCGCACTGAAAAAAAAATCTCAGCGTTTTTACCAAGGTCCGTTGGTACCTTTATCAACTCACTTTTTTACCAATTATTGGTAATTTTTCCAAGACAGACCGGTCAGCTTACCTTAAAACCGGTATTTTTACTGTTTTTTCTGGTAAGAATGCCACTTTTATTGTTAATCAATTCCCGGTAACTTTGCCATTTTATCTCGGTAATTCTACCACAGTCGATAAAAGATATTGGCGTTTTTACCAAGGTCTAGTAAAGTTACCGAGAAAGTTCAATAATTTTACCGAGATTTCTCGGTAAAATTACCAATTCCATAAATGGTATTTTTACCGAGAAAAAACTGGGATCAAATAGAATCCTGAATTCTTGGTAATTTTACCCTTTTCTTAGTAAATACACTGAGATTTTTTTTTCAGTGCGTTTCGCCCAATAGGATGGCTCTATTTTCCTTTCGTCTTTCTTTGTATTTTCTTTACGTGGAGTAATGAGGTCGAAGCACAAAATGTCTCGTCAGTATCAAATTATGTCTCAGTCGTGGTATACGTTTTATAAGGGGGGAACAAAAACTTAACAAAACCAAAAAAAGATGCATTTTTAGAATCGATTATCTATATTATACAGCTACAAGCAAAATCTTGGAAGCACTATTTCTGACAAACTGCCGGACCGCTAAGGACGATATTTATATGTATGTCGTCTGTAGTAGATGTAGATGTGCAAAAAATTATGAAACCCCGAACTTTTAATGTTGTAGAGCTTTTAAAGCTCATGTCACTTAAGTCCAATGTTAATAGCGTGAGAGATATGTCGTTTCCGCTAGCAACGTCAAGGTGTGGGATTCTACCTGAGTGACGCGAATAAACAATAAAAGAATAAAACAATGGAAAAGCTCGTGAAGGGCTCCTCATTCGAAGAGTTGAGGAACGGTGCATCGCTTAGGGTTCAAGGTTCAAGGTCCAGGGTATAAGGTTTTTACTCAATTTTTCCTCATTCTTCCGGCTTCGATGTGTGGCATTGATCAATTTACTTGATTGCTGAATTTCTATTAATATTTACAGCAGATACAAAGTGAGAAGGCAGGCGCTGCGTTGCGTCGGTACGGACCAAATATTATTAACTCTTAACGGTCGAAATCCTTTTTTTTTTTTTTTTNCCTTTTTTTTTTTTTTTTTTTTTTTTTTTTTTAATTATAAGTATTTTAAAAAAAACATAATAAATGGAAATTTCTCCAGTAAGTGGACTGTGAAATTATGTACATCCAGCTATTCCTCATCATTTTCAAATCTGAGTGTTACGTCAAAAATTTTGAAATCAATGCAGCTCGAACACGAAATGGTGTATTAAAATGGAAGAACATTTTTGCCTATACATATGCGTAATGGGCCCGCGAAGCGGGCCTGAGGGCGCGAGGCGCCCTCCCGGGGGTTGGGCCGCGTAGCGGTCAGGGGGCAGTGCCCCCTAGTATTTCATAAATTCAAATAGCGAACTGTGTTGCCAACTTGCAAGAATCGCCGCGTCCCCTCGAGAGTATTAGTAAAAAAAAAAAACAATGAGTCAAAATAACTTTCGATGAATATCGAGAGATCGCCTGATTTCAACTTTTATATTTAATTTTCTTGATAACCCGATTGATTTCCAGTTGATGTACGAGAAACAAAAGCAGACACTCAACTCGAAAACCATCCTCGGGAGCAAGAGGGAAATGATCCATCTTCAGAGGTCATTGGGGACGGTGTGACCCCTGAGAGACCCCGTACTTGCTCCGGTCCTGTCACAGGATCTCCTCTGTTTCAGCAATTTCTCACGAGCTACGTCAAGAATGCTCCACCAGAATAAAACATGGCCGGCCCAGTTACCTTCATGCCATTTCTATTAGCAATACTTCAACATCCGCCACCTGTTCACGAGTTTTCTAGTCACTGTGTAGTAAAAAAAACTAAGCCAAAATCGATTGTTTTTTGTTTTATTTCTTTTTCCTGCATGTTATCACTTCATGACCCATTAGTAGTGTATATATAGGGATATTGCGCCAAATTTGACCTTTAAGTCGGGAGCTACGTGACCCCGGTGTGAGATCACTGGTTGCGGGTTGCCTACCTATCGTTTCGGGACTTGAGCTTTAAGACGGGACCTATGTCACGTGACCCGGGTGTGACGTCACTAGCGACTGTTGCGGGTTGCCTACCTATCGTTGCCAGTGATGTAAAATTGTGCAGAAAAATGTTGATTATTTTAGGATGATTTTGCAACCATGGTGTGACGTCACTAGCGACTGTTGCGGGTTGCCTACCTATCGTTACCAGTGTTGTAAAATTGTGCAGAAAAATGTTGATTATTTTAGGATGATTTTGCGACCATGGTGTGACGTCACTAGCGACTGTTGCGGGTTGCCTACCTATCGTTGCCAGTGTTGTAAAATTGTGCAGAAAAATGTTGATTATTTTAGGATGATTTTGCAACCATGGTGTGACGTCACTAGCAACTGTTGCGGGTTGCCTACCCATCACCCGCGTTATCAGTCTGATCAGGAAAATCGTGATTAATTGAGGGGTATTGTTGAAAAATTTTACGGGGAAATCTGGATTATTTTAGGATGCCTGATTTTACAACCACGGTGTGAGAACACTAGCGACTGGTTATCTGTTACGGGTTGTATAGCTATCAGGGGTGATGGATAATCGTTATCAGTCTAGTAAAATCGGGACAGGAGGGGCGTGGGTTACTTGAGAGTTGTGACAACCACTGGTTAATTGATGTGGCTTGCCTACCTATCAGGGGCGAGGGGTAATCTTACTCGTTACCAGTGTTGTAAAATCGTGCAGAAAAATCGGAGTAAATTAACGGTGTTGGCTGGGTGATGGGTGTTTTAGCGGATCATATGTCAACANGGGATCACTTCAGAGACTTTAACGCAAGGGAAGAAAAGTAGGCACGCCGACAATCGTAAGTTCCTTAACGCATGGAGACATTATTATTTAAAAATTTGATTATGCTGAACCACACGAGAGATCACCAAGATAGCAAAATGCAGGAGTCACCTCAGAGACTTTAACGCAAGGGAAGAAAAGTAGGCATGCCGACAAACGTAAGTTCCTTAACGCATGGAGACATTATTATTTAAAAATTTTATTATGCTGAACCACACGAGGGATCACCAAGATAGCAAAATGCAGGAGTCACTTCAGAGACTTTAACGCAAAGGAAGAAAAGTTAGCGCACCGACAAACGCGAGTTGCTCAACGCATCATGGAGACTACATTAATATTTGCTCATCGTGCTGAATCACACCAGAGATTCTTAGATCATGGTACACATTTCGTCACCTACCGGCCAAAGTATCACCAGCGCCATGCGACGTTAAAAAATTCCCGCCGCCATTTTATTTTTTTACCGAAAAAATTGTTCAACGAAGCTGTTCGGAGATTTCACTGAATTTTCTGTGTGCTGCCGACAAAATTCAGTGAAATTTTCAAACATATTCAACCAGCGATTTCTCAGTAAAAAAATAAAATGGCGGGGAAAATTTTTAAACGTCGTATGGCGCTTGTGATACCTCGACCATGGTTACGATTTGCTTCTTACCCGTAACATCGATCGAGGAAACATGATTTGCAATGAGTGCAACTCGTTACAGCTGCAAATGTGGCAACTCTGCGACAGAAAAAAGGATTGTAAATATTTTTTAAAATGAAACTTCGCTAATCATGTAAAATTACGCCAGACGGTGTAACCGTAAACAAAGATACTTAACGGTAAGATTTTATGCTTTGCATGTAACTTCGATCGGCGAAAAATACGATTCGCAATGAGCGCGACTTGTTATGGCTGTGAATGCGGCAAAGTTGCGAGGTGGAGGCGAGAGGAAAACTTTTTAGGGTGAACTATGCTAATTGCGTGAAAACACCCAAAAAGTTGTGTCCATGGACAGATTTTCAGATCTTTGGCGGCAGGTCTTCGTGCCTCCGGTGCCACTTCGATCAGCGAAAAACGCGATTTGCAATGAGTATACACCTGATTATACAGTTAAAACTATGGCTTCATTGAAGAATAAAAAGGAGTCTTCGGCAAATTTTTCGGAGGAAAACTGTGCAAACTACGTGAAACTATGATAAAAGTTGTGCATTTAGACAAATTTTCAGACTTTTAGCCGCACGAGTTCATTCCTTGCGGGCTCTGTCTAGTCGCCCCAAAAAGCGATTTCATCTCAAGTCGATGGTCGGAATCTGTACAAATCAGAATTATTCTTTGGACTTTTTCATGAATGGGCTTAAAACACATCGGAAAGAATGCGCTGGGCAGTAATCGTTTTCTCAATAAGCAAAAACTATTGAGAAGATCAACTTTTTCCGAAAACTTCCAATTTCCTGCAGCAAATTCAATTCTTAAACATTATAATTAATTTCGGAACCTCAAAAAGTGCTCCAATTGCGAAAAAACTGGAGAAAGCTTTACAGAGTCCGATCCGGCAGGGTTCATTCATTCCAGCAGTTAATCAAAATATCAACGCGCTTTAACCCTTTTGACACCAAACGAGACGAAGCAACCAAGGAAAGGATACTGGAGGTGCCCAAAATTCTGGGAAAAGACTCAATTTATAATTGTACGGAATTAAAGTATTTTCCCCAGCCGTTACGCATGTGTTCCGATCAAGAAAAACTACAAGGTAAAATTGACGAAAAAATTGTAAAAGGGGAGACGAAAATGAAATATAAATGCTCAATGCGGAACCTCAGAAAATTAAAAACTCTAGATGCAATTTGAACGAATGTTCATCAATTTACCCTTAAAAATACCCTCTCTAGCCGCAAACGATTCCGAGGAATTTTTTTTTCTCGGCCCACCCTATTGTCCATGCACATCAATTGGTCTTTTCAAATCACCCAATAGCCAAGTGTTCTACTTTCTTAAAAATAAAAAAAAAGACGAAGCACAGCTGAAAATCCATGACACGGCGGGAAGTCCTAGTGGGTGGGTGTCCCTCTGTCCTTTCGGGGCGCCTCGCTGTCTGCTGTGTCCTCGACGAAGCGTGACCCGGGGATTTTTCGGAGGTTTTCTCCTCTTTATCTTCCTCCCAGGGCAGGTGGCCGCGTGGCAGTCACGCCTCATTCATTCCCTCTTTACTCAATCCTCATTCATTAGCTCCTCCATTCATGGATCGACTCTTTTAACCGCTCATCGGGCGATCGGACCGCCAACTTCCTGATGCGCCGGAAACTCATGGACCCTGGCTCCCCCACCAACGCGCGATCCCAGGGCTCACCAGTTTCCTGAGCTTGGGATCGTGGCGCGAGACCCACCACCGCGCGGCTCGGTTTTGTGAATGAATGAACTCTTACTACGCTCCCCCCCTCTTCCTGCCGACCGTTGCTCTTTATCAATTATCAATCGGCTCCCGCGTTTTTTGAGGCGGTAACTCCATTATCACATGAGCCCTGGAGAGTTTGGAGCGGTATGTACCGCAGGGTGTACGTTCAACGCGTAGTGACGACCTTCTGCGAGACGCATAGGTGAATCGGGTACCTGCTTTCCATATTCTCTCGTGCGAACATCCAGGCTTTCAGGTGCGTATTGTTTAATCCTCTTCCCCTCCCCCTCATCCTTCCTTTGGTTGCTTCGACTCGTTTGGCGCCAAAAAGGCTAAAGCGCGTCGATATTTTGATGAACTGCTGGAATGAATGAACCCTGGCGGATCCGGACTCTGTGAAGGGCGATGAGGCAGTGTTGCCGACTCCCATACTGCCGTGCTTAGGAAGAACGCCATATGAACCTTTAGGCGTTGCCAAATTTCCTTAGGTAAATTAAGAATTTTCGCGAAAAGTTGTAAATATTTTTCTTCCATTTTTTCAGATAATTTTGTTCGCAATTTTACCTAAAATTCTTGAACAATTTCTCGGAAAAATATTCATAACTCCCCTCAAAAATAAATATATTTTCGAAGGAAATTTGGCAACTCTCGGATGTTCATACGGCGTTCTTCCCTAGCACGGCAGCATAGTCGTACCCAGTTTGAGGAACGAAAAAAAATTCGGCTGCATGTAGTTTAAAAATCACCACTATCACTATTTCTATTTTTTCCTGTACTATAATCAGCTCTCTTCACCCCTAATTTTTCATTTTTAGTTCGAGTCCGTTCTGCCGTACTACTTGGGCGATATCCGGTTTTTTTTTTTTTTTTTAAATTGTGGTTTTTCTATTATTTTAAGTTACTCCTGGCCTAACTAATTGACGCAATAAAACCGTACTGTTTCAAAATGTATAGGATGGTTTTAACAGTTTGATCTTCCGTGTTAAGCATTTTTAATAGTGAACCAACCGGCCCCCCTCAAAATTCGCCCACTTTCTGTCTTTGCCTCATGCTTTTCTATTTTTTTTCTGAGAGCATACTGATTCTTTCCCGATCAACATTTAAGGATGATCCTCAAGGCTCCTTCGTAAACCTCGTTTAAAGTGATTAATGTTCCGAAATGAATGGTCTCCCGATGGTTGTATTTTTGTGGCGCTACATGAGTGTGCCAGTGTGGCTGTGCCTAGAAGGTTGTGATGTGGATATGCACCGGAAGTGAAGTCACTTGATTTAGACCATTCACTGGACCACCTTGGGCTTCATTCACGGGTCTGAAGAGGCCAATCTCATTTCTTTTCCTGGCCCTTCATCCTTGCAGGCAACGCATCATAATGATCGAGCATCCCTTTCAATCGATGGTCATGTTCGTCAGTTGGCACCATTTCCCTCGATTTTCTTCCGCTTGAATCCATTGTAACTTATCAACTCTCGATGAGACTTGTCTTGATATATATTAATTGTTCTAGGCACACTCAAATATATGGAACTGAATGTTGCCAAGAGACCCACTCAGCGCAAATTATTTATTGAACAATATTATTGTGAGGGTTAATGCGACTATTTTACGAATATGTCCAAAGAGCTCCACACCAAATAGCTCTAC